TTTTAGCTTACTGTAGGAATGGCAATGTAAGGCCACAGAAAGTACAGTTACAAAAATCTAAGCTTAATATATGTAGTAATATAGATCATAACTTTTAAAAAATATGTTAGACATCTGTTTTTTTCTTGTATCTGTTTTTCAAATTTAAGGTAAAGGTCATTAACACAGAGTAGAGGAACTTATTAGAGCTGAGATGATCACTTCAATTGATAACAGAAAGAAGGACAATTTGAGGTAAAGTGGAGAATTAAAAGAGCAATGAGAGGAACTGGGGACACATGTCGATGCCCTTAGCCTTTTCTTTTTTAACATAAAATATGTTAGGTGCCTTCTCTGCCAGTGGACTGCTTGCTTCAGTGCAAATTAAAGTCTATAAGGTCTGTGGATAAGTATAAGGTGAAATAAGCATTGCTTTGATTTTTTTCTTTCCTCTCGTAACTCCCACTTACGGATTGGCATAAAGTAAGAATTCTTCCAGTAATGTCCAGACTTCCTCATTTACGGTTTGGTATTGCATTTTTCCCAAGTGGGTATTGAATAAATGTTGTTTGATGATGAGAGAATAATTTTTTTCAGGTACAATTTTCTTTATGCTTTTATGACATAAATGTTGTTTGATGATGAGAGAATAATTTTTTTCAGGTACAATTTTCTTTATGCTTTTAGACATTTCTTTAGACATTTCTCACAAGTCTCTCAGAGTCATTGGAAAATAGAAATCTTGTTTGAACTTGAACTCTTTTACTGTGTGATTTATGTCAGTCATGCTATTATAAGTTTTATATGAATTTTTAAAAATTGATTCATTTGGCACAGTGCAAAATCTTTTAAACATTTGAATGTAATATCACTGACTTCAACTGGTATATTAAAGAAGAATAATAAACACAAGGACTTTTCAAGGGTGTATGTTGAGTTTAGGAATTTTGTGAACAGGACTCACTCAATATATATTTACTTACTGCAGTTTTTGCTAAATGGCAAGATAATTGTTACTGCCTAGAGTTTTTAAAAAATTACAGTATTAACACAGCATCCTGAAAATGTCTCTGTGTGAGATACGTATTGTCTGAACACTGTAGTCAAATAGTTTTTTATTTGGGACTCACGAAGGTGTTAATTTCTAAACATTTTCTTAGGTTCCTTTAAAAGTAAATCAACAAGTACCTTCAAGAAAAAATATCACTAATTCCTTGGGGTGAGTGTGGGGAATGGTATATGTATCCAGATAATGCTCTGAAGAAATTGCTTGGAAGTCAAAGAATCTCAAGTGGAAAAACTTCAGAATGCTTAGCTATAATATGTTCTATAAGGTAATCAAATCTTGACATGTAAATACACGTAAATATAGCATTCTAAAACAAGAATTATGGAAGGTTTTTCCTTTCACAGTAGGGTCTCTTAATAGATCACTTGCATTAGTTGAATATCTGAAGAGTACTGTCGAGAATAAACACTGTGGTTATCCAAATTATATTATCTATTCACTTTCTTATTATTGATGTTTATATATTATTTTCTTTCAGTTGGATATGTCAAGTGACCAGATAGCTGCCAATTTGCAAGCAGTTATCAATGAAGTTTGCAGGCACAGACCACTGAGTTTGGGTAAGTGGTTTGCTGAGGGTAGACTTCCCTATAGCCCTGTAATACTTTAAAAAATGTAAAATATTAAGAAAACAATCAAGTTAACATGCAAGTGCAATAGCAACAGTATTTCCAGGAATTAAATAAATAAAATTTAATTATCCAAAGGGTTCCTAATTACCTTATTAATGACTCATAGTTGTTTAGAGAAGAAACCTCTTTAAGAGTAATAAAGAATACATCCTGAAACCTTTGTAAATTCCTACATTATTTCTACCATTAAATATAATAGTTTGAAAGAAAACTGATTGCTCTAAACTTACAATTTTGTTAAATAGGAACAAAAATCACTTATGAAATGATATTTTGAAGCCAGATCATTCACTTTGCCACTGGGATTAGTAATTGGTTTTCTTAATCTTATTTATTTATTTAAGAAAAGAAATAAGGCCATTTTTCTCATGTTGTGAGAGTCAGATCTTATAAACAGAGATTCATGGAGAATCACTAAACTCGACTGAGATGTGGAAACTGTGTAGTAGGCTAGCACACAGCCTTTATCACTGCATTATGTGCCATTCCTATGTAAATAACACCACTTGCTCCCTTCACTGTTGACTTTGCAACAAAATAAATTCTTGGTGATTATTTCTCTCTTCTGTAAGAGAGAAATGAATTATTAGTGAGTATGGGTAGGTTCAAGGATAAATACAGGTTGGGTATCTCTTATGTGAAATGCTTGGGACCAGAAGTCCAAATTTGAAGATTTTGGATTTTTTTGAGTTTTGGAGTACTTGTTGAATAAATACCAGTTGAGCACTC